ATTTCTTTGTTTTATTTACCCTGATTGATCTCAATTTTTGTGCATAGTGGAGCTATGTATTAATTTCTAAATATTTTGTGGAATTTTTCAATATTATTTTTTAGTAAATTGTTGTGTCTTTTTTGTGAAAATAATCAACTCAATGAAAATAAATTGATGTAATATATATATATTTTTAATGTATTATGCAGTGATCTCTATTAGCTTTCATTTGATGTATGCAAACTTGCAATTCTAAATAATAATTTTTTAAACATAGTTTTAATTTTTTTATATATATAATGTAAATAATTGTATCTTTTTTATTTTTATTTTTGTTATAATACTAAATTTACAAAAACATAGTAAAAAAATTATTATGTAGCCTTTTAAACACGGCTGGTAGGCCAGACTTGGCTTTTAAAAAGCCCAGGCTTAGACTTTTAAAATATTTTATTTTCAGGCTTTAGGCCAGACTCAAATTATATATTTTTAAAACAGGTCAAATCTATTTAACCAAAGTCTCTGGCCCAGTCTATTCCACCCCTAACCATAAATAAAAAATTAAATAAAAATTTAGAACATAGCTAATTTTAATATTCAACAGAGTAAATAATGCAGCCAATAGCATGAAGCGGAAAATAGAGCAGTGCAGAATCTTCAATTTCATATTTCAAAGAGGAATTAAAGCAGCAACGAGCATAATGCTTATGAACCAAAAGCAGATCAAATGAAAAGTATTTCCCATTTTTGAAAACAAAAGCATACAAGTGTTAGTAATTGTCAAAAATTCCATCAAAGAAAAGCATGTAAGTTTTGGTTTCCCTCTAATCCAAAAACAATATTTCCTCCCACCTACCCCTATAAATACAACATTTAATACAATTAGGTGTTGTAAATTTAATTTCACTTCCAAAAATGAAGAAAAACAAAAATTAAGTTGTGATCAACTCAATACATAGCTCAATTTTTATTGTGCGAATCCCACAATAGCAAATTGGCACACAACAAGATCAATGAAGCTGCATCAAGGTATAAAATGTCACAAAAAATAGTGTGTGCAACAACAGTAAGGCACGCTCATAAATTTAGTAAGTTGGAAATTTAAAAAGATTAAAAAAAGAAAAAGAAGATTTTTAATAGAATAGTATTGCAAGGTATTTATTACAACAAATCATAGAATGACAAAGCAAATGAAATATTGACAAACTGGGTGAAGCAGGGGGTGATAAAAAGCTTATAGAAACGCAATCAAATTTTCTCTAATTGAGATAAATATGATTAATAGATTAAAGTTTTGCTTTGATGCTATAGTATGTTAGATTTGAATTTGATAAAGTTCAAGAGCATGCCAAATAAAATGCAAATTGACGACACAAGGTTTTATTAAACTCGCAATACTCAAATGTATTATCTCACTCGAGAGGAACTTAAACCGAATAAAGAATGCCAAAGCAAAAGATTTATTAAAAAAGTAATAATCCCTCCGTTCCGTGGTAAATTTCTCATTTGATTTTTGTACGCGAATTAGTATTTTATAGATATGTATTGTAATAAAATAATCTAATGTTCATTTTACCTTTAAAAAATAATGTGAGATATAAACAGTAAAAATATTTTAATATTTAGTTGAAAGTTATTTTTTCTATAAAAGCAAATGAAATTTTTTTATTTGGACAGATTAAAATGATATGAAGTTTAGTAGTGAAGGAAGAGAATAATTTTATGTGTGTGTGTGTGGTGATTAGGTTAATTTATGAAGATGATGGAGAGTGTTTATTTAATGAAAAAATAAGAAATTTTTCACTTACTAAATAAGTCCCAACAAAAAAAAATAAATAAATAACAATAAATAAAATATTCAAAAAACTGACAAAAAGGACAATGAAGATAAAACCTTTAAATTAATCACTAAAAAGGTTACAAATGAGGCTATAATTAATAAGGTATGATTGCTTACTTATCCCTACAAACAATTTAAATATTCAATAATATGAAGTAAATATGTGTAGGTAATCTTAACAATAAACACTAAATGGCTAATAAATTTAAGTAAAATCATTGTAATTCAACAAGATAATGCTAAGCTGAATATAAAGAATAATGACCTAAATTTTGGGAGGCAACATGCTCCGATTGTTTGACATACATATTGTGTTTCAGCCATCAAATAGTCCAAATGCATTTATAAATAACTTAGGTGGTTTCGAACACTATATTTTCTATAAGTTACAAATGCATCACAAAATATCAAAGATTTGCTAGCAATTGTTAATAAATCTTTAAAGGGACTGTCGACACAATACTTAACAATATTTTCTAAGATTACAATGTTTCTTAATTCAAATCATAATGTCCAATTAAAGCAACAACTACAAAATTCCCACATAAAAAAATCAACACTATTAATAAAGAGTATGCTCCCAACTTATTTGGAAATTGATCTAGATGTGATTTAGATATACATTGACACACTTATGAAAGAAAATAAGATATCGCATGCTATCGTTGGTATGATGTTAGCCTAAAGCTTAATTAGTAGTTATATGTTAACCTTAAAAAATAGATAAGTTGAATTTAAAATTATGTGTTATTTATGTGTGTCAGAATATATATATTGTGTTTAAATAGGCTTTGCTGCGGTTATTATGTGTTAAATTGTATGTATAATGACAATAATGTAACATGTTCTCTATTATTGATTAAACCCTTCAATGTAACTATGATAATTAATCAAAAATAAGGAGATTGCCGAGATTTGTTTCCTATTAGATCCAAACCAATCAGACTCAATTTGATCCCAACAGACCCGGTCCGAACGGACTCATGAATCAACCAAATAAATTCTAATTTTGAATTAGAATCTCATCCAATTTCGTCAAGACCTAGTCTTCTTCAATACCTCGCGTCTGCTCCGACGTTAATGTAATGATGTGAATCTATACATTCTTCTTCTGCCCAAATTCGAACAAAATTTATTCTTGCTTAAGGTTTGTTTGGTTTCCGTAGATTTCGGAGGCTTATCCATTTTCTCTATTATTTATATGTATACTAGTTTTGTGTTGTGAGTTTCTTGGACAAAAAAAAGTTGTCTGAGAGAAAGTGAAATTATTGGTAAACTCTACGAGTCAGTTTGATTTGAAGGGAATGGAGGGGAGTAAAGGCAAAAACTAAAATAAAAAAAAAAAAAAAAAAATAAAATTAAAATTACTTCATTTGATTTAACTTTTATTAAAGGAGAGAGGAAATAAAATTAAGTGTATATTGCTTTGTTTCTAAATCTAGGGAATTTAGAGTAGGTAGAAAAATGTATATATATATATATTTGTTTTTTTTAAAAAAATTACTACTATACATTTAATATTGTATGTTATATTTTTATTCAATTACATACATAAGTTATATTATAAGTATTTTATAGTAAAAATAAAGTTAAATATTTTAAATGATATAATGTAAGTAAAATTATATATATATTTTTTATTCTATGAAGCTATAATATAAGTATTTGATGTTCTTACCAAAGCTTTGATATTTGATTTGGTTTTGCTGCATTTTGAAGGACTTTGGTCTCTGTGTGGGCGATTTGATCATCAGTTTTGAATTTGGTGTCTTCTTTGGACGATCCGATACTTTGATATTTGATTTGGCTTTGCTGCATTTTGGATTTGATGCTCCCTTTAACTTTTTTGGATTGAAGAGAGCCTAGTTAATGCTTTGTTGAAGAACACGATGAACATTTTAAAGCTTTGAGAGGAACTTTGGGGACCTTACTTTAGCTTTAACGAATTTCTCAATAGCTTTGAGAGCTTTGATCCTTCCTCCGGCTTAGCATACGACGAAGAACGTTAACTCCGTTGATTCGTCAATCAATATTGGATTATTTGTCCAACTTAGTGACTTTCGACGAAGAACGCTTCGAATGACATGAAAAAATGAAGAACAATACAGAGAGAGTCCAGAGACTTATCTCTTTGCTTGAATCATCGATGTAATTTCAATGTCTAAAAAAAACTGGCCATGACTCCTATTTATAAGGCAGGGGTGGCACCAACTTGCTTTTTTAATGGTGTCACGTGGCGCGTTCTGATTGACCAATAAGAAGATTTTATAATATTTCATTTTCCATCGGATGCTGTTTTCCATTGTTGACGGATATGATTCTACATATTCCTTTCTCGCCAAAATCTTTATATCATTGTTTTTTTCGGAAGATATTCATTTATATGCTTCATTTATTAATAAGATTATTTTATTTTGTCGCCAAATTTATTATGACTCTATTTCATAATATTTATACGATATTTTCCATTTTAAACAGATTTTTGCATTAATATTTTGATATTTATTGTACAAAAATTAATGCATAATTAAATATTATATATTTATTTTATTGAACTTTTATTTTCTTCCAAAATATATGATATTTAATTGAATTTAGACATATATTTTTAATGTTCATAACTATTATTTTTTAACTTTATAATTCTACTCTTTGTTAATTTTTTTATACGCTACTTTACTAATTCTCCTGACAGGGATTCTTTGATTACAACAATAATTTGTAACCATCCGGTTGAGATAAAATTCCCAACAAGAGGGCCTATATAAATATAAACAAATAAATATGTGCTTAGGGGTAAGGCAGAGGAAGCGGAGTCTTCGTTCACCACTTGTAGACCAAAAGGGAAAGCAATATTATTCATCCATTTGCAGCATATTATTTTAATATTATATATATATATATTTCTTTTAAATGCAAATTCTTTTATGCAAATATTTCGAAACATTCTTTGACCTTATATTGAAAAACAAAAAAAAGGAAGAAAAACAACAAGCATCACAAAAATCTCACTACATTAATGAATAAATTAGAGTGGTGCAGGCACATTCCTGGGCCTGAACACCTCCTAAATGTCTACCGTTGGTGACGAAACTTCAACGATGCAGATGTATCTGGTGTTCAGTCCCAGGAGTTTCTAAAGCTACCCACCATTTATTGAAAAAGAAAGAAGAGCACAAGAATGTTGCCGACTGCCTCCCCTCACATTCACAAACCTCGTTTTGCCCTGCCCTGCCCTTAACCTAACCATGGTTACTTTTCCACCATCCTGAAAACCAACCCCCCCAAAAGCCCCAACCCTGATTCTCCATCGAGATTCATCATACACATACACATGCAGCAGCAATTTCTTCCGGCACCAGAATTTGGGACAAACACAAACGCATACACTCCCCCCAATACTCCTTCCACTTTTCCGCTCTGCAACTGTAACAGAGGTGAGGCGAAGCGGCATGAATTGTTAACCTTCTTCTTTTCCGATCGTTTCTTGAATCAAGTTTCCGTTTTAATTTGGTACCGAGTTAACTGGAGTGGAGGACATTACTGGTAAGGTGTTTTCTTGCGATCCTCTGTTTTTTCTTTGAGTGATATGCATTGAACTTGGTTTGTGCTTCGTGGTTTTGTCGTGCATGTGCGTGTAGATTTGCGATATTTGAGATCTGAAAGAAGTTCCCTGGCTCCGATTTGATTTTTGTTGAGAACCTGAGGTTGGGGGCTGATGGATTGATTAGAAAGTGTAGTTGAGTTTATGCGATCTAAAATTCAATTGGGAAGGACTGCGATTTTATTAATTGCACCTTTTCTGCTCCAACTTCAAATTCGCTGCTGCCGTTTTGGGGGAAAATTAATTGGGATTTGGTATGGGAGTTTTTTCGTGGAATAATGAGGATAAAGTCATGGCGGCTAGGGTTTTGGGAGTTAGGGCTTTTGATTACTTGATGTCAAGTTCGATTTCTGCTGAATGTTCGTTGATGGCAATTGGAAATGATGAGAACTTGCAGAAGAAGCTCTCAGATCTTGTGGAGCAGTCGAAATTCGCCAAATTGAGTTGGAATTATGCAATTTTTTGGCAGCTGTCACGGTCCAATAAATCTGGGGAATTGGTCTTGGGGTGGGGAGATGGATGCTGCCGGGAACCTAGCGATGATGAGGAGACAGGAATTTCTCGGCCGAGGCCCGACGACAATGATGAATCCGAACAGCAGCAGCGCGTGAGGAAAAAAGTTCTCCAGAAGCTGCACACTTGCTTTGGGGGAACAGAGGAGGATAGCTACGCTTTTGGATTGGATAAAGTTACGGACATTGAGATGTTTTTCCTGGCTTCCATGTACTTTTCATTTCCGCGGGGCGAAGGAGGCCCTGGGAGTTGCTTTGGATCCAACAAGCATGTGTGGTTTTCGGATGCATTGAACTCGTCTGAGGATTATTGCGTTCGATCGTACCTTGCCAAGTCGGCTGGTATGCAGACTATTGTTTTGATTCCCACTGATGTTGGTGTTGTGGAATTAGGTTCTGTCAGATGCATCCCTCAAAGCGTGGAGCTCTTGAAGATGCTTGGATCCTCATTTTCGTCTCTTCTCAGGGCCAAGCAACTGAACATTTCTGATATGGCGACTGGTAACTGTGTAGAAGCTGTTGTTCCTAAAATATTTGGGCAGGATTTGAGTTCGGGCCAGATGCAAATTGGGGAAAAAGTTGCTCTAAGGAAAGTTGAAGACAGGTCGGCTTGGGATGGGAGCAACAAGCTGCTGTTTACTAATGCTCTGAATGGTTTTCATGGCACAGGATGGATGAAGTACAATCATGTAAAGGCAGGGAAAACCACGGGCACTTATGGATCTAAAAACATTTCCGAGCGCCCCAATGGAGTTGGTGATGAGTTGTTATTACTCAGCAACAAATATCATGGGGCAGGGGTGGGGGCGGGGCAAATGCAGATTGATTTTTCAGGTGTGAACTCCTTGAGGCCTATAATCTGCTCCCCTCGTCTTCGGAGTGGTGAGTTGGAGCATTCAGATATCGAGGCTCCTTGCAAGGAAGAAGCTGAACCTGAACCTAAACCTGAACCTGCAGGGGTGTTAGAAGACAACAGGCCGAGAAAGCGTGGGCGAAAGCCAGCCAATGGGAGAGAAGAGCCCCTCAACCATGTTGAGGCGGAAAGGATGAGAAGGGAGAAGCTCAACCAACGATTCTATGCTCTGCGGGCGGTCGTACCGAATATCTCTAAAATGGATAAAGCTTCTCTCCTTGGAGATGCCATTGCTTACATTACGGAACTTCAGAAGAAGCTGAAGGACTTGGAGTCTGACTCTGAGAAAGGCAGACGTGGAAGTGCATTGAAAGAAGCTGCCGCTGATGAAGAAGCCTTGAGAAGCGTCATTGACATCAACATCGAAGCAGTAGATGATGATGATGGGGTAAGGGTGAGGGTGACCTGCCCGTTGAAGATGCACCCTGCATCAGGAGTCATCCAGGCAATCAGGGATGTCGAGGGAACCATCATTGACTCCAAAATGGCAATGGTGGGGGTCGACAGAATGTTGCACACCTTCATCGTCAAAGGATCGAAATCATCATCAGCAGCAGCACCGCTCAGCAAGGAGAAGCTGATGGAAAAACTCTACTCCCAACACGGCAATAGAAATGAAATGGAAGGATGAACAAGTTACTACTTACTTACAGCCAAGAAGATAGCAGCTTTTGCATAATATAAAATTAAATGGTATGATGGTGATGGTGATGGTGATGTGATGATGGAGTGGGGAGTTTGAGGAGAGATTAAGATTATTGTTATGAGTAATTAAGTTAAGGGCGAGCAGCGTAGGCTAGGAGGGTTCATTTCATTTAATTTCATTTGGATGTGTTACGAGGCGTTGTTTACATATAGCAGGGTAGAGTAGAGTACAGTAGTGTAGTGTAGCGAGACATAGCTAGAGGTAAAGACTAAAGGTGCATGATAAAGATTAGATTGAATTAGATGTAGATTACATAGACAGCCCGACCGATAGAGAAATGGTCATGAATTGAATTGAGCTGAGTTGTTTAACGAAACTTGTTTTTCTATGTTATAGTAAAAAATATTGCTTGAAGATTTTTTGTGTCAAAATTAAAGGGGGTCACATTTTTTATTTTTGTCCTTCAATATATTATGTCATTTTTTTTTTAAATGTTATACTTCTTCCGTTTCAACTTAAAGTATTATTTTTACTATTTTTGTCCGTTCCATTCTTAGCCGGCGAGACTTGGAGCGGGGGGTTAGCCAACTCATCCACCCCGGACGTATCTGCATCATCAGGCTGCCCAAACATCATGCATACATAAAAGATGGCTGATTGCTTGATCTCCGAGTACGCTATGAGGATGCGATCACCATCTTACGTTTCCCCTCAACCGCCTAAATGTACGCCGCTTTTTGTTTCCAGTAAGCCTTTTCCAAGGCGATTGCACGTGTTAGGGCCACCGCATTACGCTGCCGATGAAGGAGGTTAACATCCAACGGATCCCAATCAAAATCCGCCTCGCACTTCTCTGCCGCTTTTCAGCCGCCACCAAAATGTGGAAAATATTAGCAAACACATGCTTGTTCCACCACTTTAAAGTTTGTTTGAGACACCCTAGTTTCAGCCGCAGGTTGAGGAAGCCCATGGTGCCTGTTGGGACCGCCCAGCTCTGCCGAACGTACTCCTAAAAAGTGTGGTTTCGAGTCCACATATTCTGAAATATGAAAGCAGAGGCAATCTGATGTCGCTCATGCGAGATGCGAACCAACAACGGAGCATGGTCAGAGTGCATGCACGGTAGGTGTCAGACTCGGGTCAGCTTGGCGAAATCCTCCCAGACGGTATTATATAGCATCCGATGGAGATGCTCCTAGACCCGCCGGTCCGTCTATGTTTGTGGAGAGCCTTCGAAACCAATATCAATGAGATTCGTATCTAGGATTGCCATCGGAAAATCCTGGATCAAGCGGAGCTTAGGACGCCCGAGGCCTCGGCTCTCGGTGATGTCGGCAATGGCATTGAAGTCCCTCCCAAGAATCCAAGGGGACCCCACCGCCGAGGCTGCCATGTCCTACAAGAAAGACCAAAGTGCCCGACGCTGGAAAATAGAGCAACAAGCATAGATACCTGAGAAGAGAAAAGGGCCGCGAACCTGCGGAGATGATATCTGCACATGAAGACACTGATCGATCTCCGAGATAAGCTCCAATTGGAAAAAGCTCTCCGCAAGAATCCAAATAGAGTTGGCGGTGTTGGTGAGCATCTGAGAGAGGCGAAAGCGCCGGAAAAAATAATTTGGATTTGATGTGACCATAAGCTCAAAGGGGATAAGAAGACGGATACAATGCTGCTTGCAGAGTGAGTGTACCTCCCACTGAGCACGGGGGTTGCCAATGCCCCGTACATTCTAGACTAACATAGATATATCAGTCATTGAGAAACTACTGTAGGGCGATGAGAGGAACTGTCGTGGTGATGAGATACCGCGGATAACAGGGCAAGAGAAGACTATCGGCGGCGGAAACTGTTGGGTCCCCGTTGACACTGTATTAGAAGATCCATTGAGAGACGAGGGTTTTGCAACTGTATTCAAAACATACTCCTCTATGCTCAGATCTGCCAACGTCGACAGAGCGATAATAGAAGGGAGCGGCTCCAATGAACTCCGCAGGAGGAGTGGTTGAGGGTCGTGGCCAACTATAATATCGACACTATCAAGAGGTTCTACAACAAGGGTCCCCGCACGAATGTCACCATAGGGACTGTCAGTGCCACGAGGGGAGAGAGCTAAGGAGTCAAGAAGAGGAGGGGTGCTATCTTTGATCAAGGGAGAGTCCCCGTCCGAGTCATCTGCGAAATCCGTCTGGAGGCTAGAGTCATCATCATGCTAGGGCTTTGGAGAGGATGAGTGGGTAGCTGAGAGGCAAGTATCCACTGAGAGGCCACACCGGTGGCGGTTAGATGTCTCCAAGGAATCAGAGATCAGCACCGCCTTTCCTTTATCAAGACCATGGCCAGAGAGGAATCCCCACATGGCGAACTGTTGCTCGGGAGGGATCTTCATATGGTCCGAGGCCGCCACTGGGGAGACCGAGGGAACCAGACCATCCCTCTGAAGCGGCAACACAATAGGGAGGGTGCATGTTTGCCTGTCATGTGGGGAAGGAGTGTTAGAAATCACCTGGGTAGCCTCTTGTGAGCTCTTGGCACAGGCCTGGCCGGAGGGGTCCTCAGGTCGCTCGGGGGTGATCTGTATAGCTTCTGTCTGGAAGCACACATATTGTCCCAAAGGTTACTTGCACGCCCGAGTAGAGCCATTTTTGAAGGCCAAGGTCAAAGATGGTAGCGAAATCCGCTTGACAGGTAGGTGGTCGTTGCTCCTGCATAGAGGGTGGTAGAGTGTCACCATCGGGTTCAGCTGAGAACTGCATAACCGTAGGGTGGTCCTGCAATTCTGCCCGTGGTTTCTGCACATTCCCAAAGGTCACCTGCACTCCTAAAGAGAGTTGGATCGGGGGTTCACGCTCCTGGTAGGAGCAGGCGCCGCTAGAGTAGGAGCTGGTAGCGCTGCATCCGTAGGTGGAAAGGAAATGGCGCCGTGAAGGTTAGGGGCGATCTTCAATATCTTGGGGTTATGCGGTGGGGTATCCGGGACAACCACTGCATCCCCAAATGTCAACTGCACCCCATAGCATAGTTGTTTTGGAGTTTGCCGTCCCGGATTGGTAGCGAGGGGTTCCCGAGTGGTCCCTGGGATGGCCACTGGTGCTCCCTGCAGAGGATCTGAATAGGTCCCTACACAGTGTCAAGATCATTAGCAGGACTATTAGTAAGCTTACGCCGGTTGCAAATCCGGCGCCCACGAATACGGTGCCAAGTAAGGGGCTAGGGCTCAACCGTAGCATCAGGAACCGGAGCCCCAGGGGTGGCAGAGGAAGCCTGTGCCAAGTCACAGTGACTAGGAGCCACAATAGGGTTTTTTTTAATTTTTTTACTGAGCTCAAAGAGTTGCCTACGTACCCATACGTGATCAAGCCATACGTAGTTCTAAAAAGTTTTGCGTACAAGGTCTAGAAAAATGACAAAAAACAGTAAAAAGAAACTTATAAAAGCTAGTAAGAGCTAACGAAAGCGAAAGCACGGAAGGCCCGCTGCGTCAGCATGGATGAAGCCACGAGCCCTCGCAGGGATGTCCGCTGGCTTCAGAATCCGCATATGAGGAAGGGAGACTAATGTGTTCGCTAGGTTTTCCGCCACTTGATTGCCCTCGCGGTAGATATGAGAGATCCTCCACTCGATGGTGCGTAGTTGAAGACGCAGGTGGTGGAGACAAGGCTGGAGGGTCCAATGTCCCGTTGAGGAGGAGAGTAAAGAGATACTGCTGGCAGAGTCCGTCTTAATCCATAGAGGGAGGAGGCCTCGCGCCATTGCTAGGTCCAAGCCAGATTGAATCGCCTGTAATTCAGCCAAAGTGTTTGTCGCGTGCGGGAGTGGGGACCTGGAAAGCCACAAGGGGAGCGCCAGTGGCATCCCGAATAATGCCCGCAGCCCCAGCAACACCTGGATTTCCAAGTGATGCCCTATCGGTGTTGAGTTTGAACCGTCCTGGAGTAGGAGCTTCCCACCGCATTAAAACCAATGGCCGAGGGACCGGGGGCGGGAGGCGGAGGCCGAGACAAAAAGCAAGGTGAAAATCCCCTGACCAATGTTGTCGTTGAAGGAGGCCAGCACGCCAAAGGACCTGCAAATGAGAGTAACGCGCCAAATAATCCGGTCAGATGAAATCTGGATACCTCGGTGTTTGGCATCATTTTGTGCCGTCCAAAGAAACCAAAGAACCATAAATGGGATATAGGCACGGATGCTCCGCACATGAGGGGAGGACAGGCGCCAAGCAGAAACCATGAGATGGGGCGCACGTGTCCCTGGGAGTTGGATGCGAAATAAGTCGGCGAAGTGGTGCCACACATGCTGGGCAAGCGCCGACGAGAGGAATAAGTGCTCGATCGTCTCAGAATCCTGGCAACACTGGCAGCGAGAAACAATAGGAAGACCCATCTTCCTTAAGGCCTCATCGACGGGTATCCGACGGCGAAATAAATGCCATAGGAATACCGACATTGTAGGAGTAAGGAATGACGACCATAAGCTGTAGGAAAGCCAGCTCCGTGCCCCAATTGTTCGGCTCATCTCCCAAGTTGAAGTCGTAGAAAAATTACCCGTGGCCGAGGCCTTCCATATTGGCTGGTCAGCAGTCAGGGGATCAAAAGGAAGCACAGAGATCTGCTGAACAAGTGTTGTCGGGAGATAGGCCTGAACACGCGTCACATCCCACGACCCATTTGTCCATATCTCTTTCACCCGGATCAACGGGGGGTGGTCCTGGCGGTCGGTGCAGAGAGGGCGGTCCCCACACCAAGTATCATACCAAAAGAAGCACTCCCCACGCCCCAAATTCCAAATGATCTGATTCTATGCCTCATCTAGAATCTGGCAAAGACGCTTCCATACCGGACTGTCGTAGCTCCGGCATGGTGCAAGGCCTAGGAAAGAGCTGCGAAAATACTTGTGTTGAAGCGCGCGAGCCCAAAGAGAGGAACCATCTCTGAGTCACTACCACAGTTTAAACGAGAAGGCTCTAACCATATTGGACAGTCGGCGAATGCCATGCCCACCCTCCTTCTGCGGCTGTGCAATATCCACCCAGGAGATTGAATGGCGGCGGCGGTGACCATGATAAGAGTCCGAGAAAAAACGAGCAAATAGCTGCTCCACGGAGTGAAGCACAGCCTGGGGGGGGAAGCGAGAAGAGGGTGCTTCTGATCAACTTTAAATGACCCCCATGTGATAGAACTGAGCGGTCCCAATTTTGCAGATAGCGACGGAGCTTTCCAAGGGTTTAGGGTTTAGGGTTTTTTTTTTTTTTTTTTGGCTGGGCTCAAAGAGCTGCCTACGTACCCAAACGGGATCAAGCCATACGTAGTTCTGCAAAGTTCGGTACAAGTGCTGGGAAGTAAAATAGAAAATATAAAAAGTAAAAGCTAACGGAAGCGAAAGCACGGGAGGCCCGCCGCGTCAGCATGGATGAG